GCATTGTGTCTCCTTTCTCCTCGCGTGGTTTTCGCTTCGTGCCTTTGGTCTTTGTGTGTTTTTCTCTGCCTCTTGTCCTTCGATGGTTGCTCTGTCTGTTTCGTTTTTCGTTACCGCTCTCTGGCTCTTTTGTTTGTGTGCTCTTTTTTATCGCGCTGATTTTTTTTACTTCTGCTGTCGGTGTTCTGTTTCTGTCCCGTTCGTTCCGTTTTGTTGTTCTTTTGTTCTCTTTCTCTGCCCCTCTTCTTCCTGGGTGTGGCTCCGTCTTGTTTCTTCGTTGTGTGTTCCTTTGTTTTATTCGTCGTCTTTTCCTGTCCTCCTTTTTGTGCCTCTTCCATTTTCCTGAGTCTCTCATCTCCCTTTGGGTTTCTTCCGCTTGCCTTTCGTCCTGCCTCCTTCCCCTTTCTGCTTGCGTCTTGTGCTTGTTTGTCCCTGTCGCTCCTCCCTCCTTCCTTTCTGTCCCCTCCCCTCGTCTTTTGCGTTCTTATCCCTTTTTTGCGTGCTTGCGTTCTGTTCTCTTTGCTTGTTCTTTCCTCCGTTCGTTTCTTTTTGCTGGGTCCCCTTGCTTCTTTGCTTGTGCTTCGTCGTCGGCTTTTGTGCTGTTTTGTTTCTTTGTGTTCCCCTGTTCGATCCCCCCTCCAGGTCTACCAACCTTTAGCAGCAACACCCACGCTTGCTGAAGGAGCACGACAAAGAGACACCCCTGCCCCCAGTTGCCAAACCACCGCCATCAAAATAGTATAAGGCGTGCCAGAACAACCGGCAGACCCACGCCCACGAACCTTGGCATGCTCGACCTCATCCAGACACTTAGTTCCCGCAATAACCCCATCTCTATTTGGGCGCATGCCCATTATGGAGCATCCAAATGCAGCACCCCACCCGTTTGACACACCTTAATAGGGTGTGACTACCAAGGGGATCCATCGGATGTTTTCACCTAGAATGCAACGATGGGCCCTAATCCTTAGTGCGTATGAATACAAAATTGCTTACATCCCAGGCTCTAACAATTGTACGGCGGATGCCCTGAGACGGTTACCGCACCGCGACCCCGGCAGGGCCAACAGATGAACCGGCGGAGTTAGTTCATTTGATGCAGTACCTCGACACTACCACTTTTGACAAGTGACGTCATACCTCGATGAACCGATCGGGATCCCAAACTAGCCTCCGTAATACATTTCACGAAACGAGGCTGGCCTAGTAGAATTCCGGCTGAGTTGAAACCTTTTGGATTTCGGAAAAATGAGTTGGATATTCACGATGGTTGCTTGTGTTGGGGCTCACATTTGTTTCCACCGTCGAAAGCGCGCTTCTTTAATAATAAATGAAATTCACATTGAACATCCAAGTGTTGCCCGAATGAAGTCCCTTGCACGCGGCTATTTCGGCTTAGGTGCCGAAATTGAAAGCTCCCAGAAAAGGTGTGATCTCTGCCAACAATATCAGTCGAATAAACCTCCAGGTCCAATGCACCCTTGGCGTTGGCCTGAAAGGCCATGACAGCGTATCCACGCAGATTATTTTGGTCATTTGCACGGAACATTTTTCCTGTTGATGGTTGACGCCTATTCGAAATGGATCGATGTTTATCCAGTGTCTCATCCCACGGCTGAAACAACCATTTCAAAGATGCGATCATCGTTTTCGGTTTTCGGCATGTCTGGGACTGTTTGTACAGATAATGGGTCCTGTTTTACAAGTAAGGAGTTTGAGAGCCTTATGCAGAGCAATGGCATTCAATGGCTTCGGATAATGAAGCTGAACCTATGTTTTCTTTACAGAATCATAAATTGTCAAATTCGCAGTCCTGAAAGCGGTGTTCACATATCTGTAAACAACAGATACCCAATACGTAACAAAGAGGTAAAGGTCATGATTCCAAAATTTTCTACGAGAATCAGAGAACGTTTCTTTCTAACCCAATACTCAAAGATTTGGAACAAACTTCCAAGTGATATCAGAACATGCTATACGCTTTGCAATTTTAAGCTTGCTATTAGTAAGCATTTAACCGTCCAAAACGTGATTAAGATGTTCGGGACATCACAGTCCCTAGATAACGCATTCGAAAACGGTATCCATGGTGCCTGAATAAATTTCTGAAGCACATACACATATCATTTCGGACAACAGCCCCTTTCATTACATTTTTTTCTCTCGGCCCAAATATCTATCATGTGATTGTAAAGAATCCTGATTCAGTGGCAGGCAAAAATAGCAGAACGATTCTGATTACTCTGTGTAACATAATTTGCAATTGCATCCATGTTTATCTCTGAAAATGTATTGATGAAATGTCATGGAAAAGTTGTACCATTATTTGATCTGTTCCTTATAGAGAACAGCTTCTCGCATAGTCGAGGAATATACAATTTATTTATTTATTTATTTATTTAACATGTTCGTACAGCTCTATATCATTCTGCGTCAAATAGCTTAGCCGAAAGGGCGGTACAGACGGTAAAAAGAGGCCTGCCAGAACAGCTGTCTGGACCCGTACAAACGCGATTAGATCGATTACTTTTTGCTTACAAAACAACTCCGACAGAAGCCACGGGTAAATCCTCCGCAGAACTGATGTTCGGTAGAACACTTCGTACTATACCATTTCCCGGCCAAGTTGTCCTTTTGGGCAACAGAAATAATCTAAGGGGGCATTCAACATGAGTCTACTCAATTAATTTGTTCCGTGCGTACGCCAGTCACTTGTGCAGGTGTGTAGGTGTGCGTGTATAGCCCGTCGCCTTCAGCCAATTGGACCTCAGATGCACTAAGTCATAGGGGTGCAGGTGGGACGCTTCAGCTCCTACGCACGGAACAAATTAATTGAGTAGACTCATGTTGAATGCCCCTTCAGATTATTTCTGTTGCCCAAGAGGACAACTTGGCCGGGAAATGATGTAGATTACACCTATTATTTCCTAATTGTCGAGCGCAAATAGAAGCGAAACAAACTTAAGACAGCTACTTTAGACATGAATCACGATGTTGTTTTCCAACCGGGAGATCCTGTGTATACACCAGTTTCACACGAACAATCATGGCAGCCCGCAACCGTGGTCACAATTGATGGTACCCAGGCTGACCTGAAGGTAAATGATCGCGTCTTGGGGCGTCATTCAGACCACATACGTCCGCTTTGTGTAAAAATAGGAGAAAATGTGGAACGGCTCCAAAAAATGTCCAACGATCATTTACCAAGCTAGTCATGGGGTGCTGTTCAAACCTGACTTATTATGACCGCTGGGGAAAACTCCAACTGGATCCTCTTTGACTGAGATCCTTAAACAACAACCTCGTTCTCTTCTACAACATTATAAACCAACCAGTTTACCAGACAGCACCGCATTTGAACTACGAAACACTGCAGTCTACCCCACACGTAATGGCGGCTACTTGATATGCACAAACCTTTCAAGTCATAAAACTCGATCGAATTTCTTCTTATTGAGATACACTGATCTGTGGGACAAACTACCTTACAGATACGCATGAGTACAAGCGATGTCACATTTCGAAATTCCCTTCAGACGTTCCTCACCATACTAAATGTGTTGGATATTTGACTCACAGCAAACTCTAGAAACTTTGGCAGAAGCTGGTATAAAATCATATGAGCAAATATACGCTTATAACTAGCTTACGCACGACATGTCATTACCTAAAATACCAAATCCTTTATCTGTGCAGCGTAGTAGCCTCTCCCTTTTATTATCTACTCCTAATCCCCACAAACTAGAAAATGATGATATAGACAGCCGTAAAGTTTACATATTAGGTGCACGGGTCTAGGACCCGAGGAAAAAATAACATGATCCGAAATTCTATTAATAAACTTTTCTTTACTATTATGATTTACGCCGCATAAACCATGAAACCTATTCACGATACAAATGATCGCTCATACTTATGAAGCCTTGTACCATCTGTGGGTAAATATACAAATTTATTTAAGTTATTTCTTAATTGATATATCTGACTCAGTCCAGCCGACGGTGGAACAAACCCCACAGGATAATGCGCAAACAACAAACTGCCCACCACTTCGCAGATCACGTGTACCTAAACCTTTTGGACGTTTCGTTCCCGGTATATGACTCTCCAAGACAGAAGGGGATGTTACATCCGTCACTGATATTGATTAGTTAGTTCAGCCACACCGCATTCTTATTGGTTTTCCTCGCATTGACCAATCAATAGGTCCTCACTCATGCTTTAACTCGTGTGTCATGTGAGCCATGTTGCATTGCTTCGCGCGATACGCTTTCTTTCGGATCGCGTCTTGTTCTTGCCTAACTGCGGTCTGGGGGCGTGCTTTGCCTGAATTCGTTACTACGTATTACCCTACTCGTGTCGCAAGACCGTGTCGTGGCGTTCGTCCATTGCGCCCGCCTAACAGCGCTTCGGGACCTCAGGCACCCTCTAGTACGGATGCAACCTTCCACACCGCGGTCGTACTTCAATGCCAACGTGTGCCGTCTTTAACTGTGACAACATCAGTTAGTCGTATTAGTCCGCAGCGAAGAGACTCAGAACACCCCTAGCCGCCGAGGAACTATGGATTGCTCACGTTACCTTACTCGTAGCTTAACCCATACGCTCCGTAACCATGTTAAACCCTGGGATATTTAACAGGGAATTATGTGGATGGAAGATATGATTGATCGGGGGGTCTCAAGGTTACGAGGAATACGAATCCCGTCCTTTCTAGCAGCGAATAGCATACAACCGCGGCGAATAATCGAGGTATCAGTAGCCTTAGCATTGAGCACAACCATCCTGAGTCAACACGTGCATACACACAATGAATAAAGGCGGGCATATTTTGTCGGGTTTCGGAGTTTGGATCGTAGTGAGGAACACACGACAGGTGATCAACAATGGTAGGACAAACGGTAATCCGAACATCCAGGGCATACAGCAAAAAGGAACAAGTTAAGCCTCAACTGCAACAGGGTAGGAGAGACACGGAGCTTAGCACAAACTTCTGTATTCGAACACTCTTTTTCTAGTTTTGTTCTGCTCGGGTGCTTCGCTGTAGCGTTATGCACTCAGGAATCGTGCGTGTGTCCTGCTTTCACTAGCAATCGTCAACGGGAAACACATACCCTTGGTAGGTCCGGCAGTAAGCAAGTGCCGTCGCAGGACAAGTGTATGCGAATGCTTTGGACTACGTTATCACGGTACAACTTCCCGCCCGTTTTATTGTTTCCGGGTGACATACGGGCTAACAGCGCTACGAAAGCTGTGTCAGGCTTTCCATCTGATGAGTTTGGGGTATCCACTAACTCGTACCTCTCTTGTTGAACATGGCTCGCTGCTTTCATATCCAGTATCCGATAGGAGCAGTATGGTATGGTCCAGCAAGGAAATATAGGAAACATCTCATGTCACCAAACTGCAGTTATGAATCTCACTTGAATGATAGCCAATTTTCGAAGTCACCGATTCGAATGATTAAGACGTGCAAGTTACTGATCCGCTGGAGCTGACAAATAGTCCCTTAAAAGGCAGCTTGGGGAAAAGTTCATTTAAAACGAATGACATCCAAGTCCAGAAGTACACTCTTGACTATCCACTTGCTGGGTATGTTCGTCACCAGCCGAATAGAAAGGGGACCTGGAACACTACCGGCGGCATGTATTGTGGGTGCGCTTGACATATGAGGTCGGTGGCCGCTACCAGTTTGGGTGGCAAGTTGAGCTAGCAGTATGCTTGCATTAATCGAAGACAAATAGTCTGGTACGGACTAATAAAGCGCTTCAACGTATGTAAGCATTACCTCGTTCTTGAACGTTTCTAGCTCACTCCACGTGTACTGAAGATGACGGAGATTTCCAGCGATGTTGACCAGAGGGAAAAGGCCAGCGCAGTAGCGGGCTTCCACTTGTGCACCCAAGCGATTGTCATGCACCACCGGATGTAGACGAGCCGCCCCAGACACAAGTTGATTCAAGCTGAGGCCCAAATTACGGATGCTGTACTTTTTCAGCCATTCTCTGGTACTCATCTGTAGAAGAGCGATAAAAACTGGGTACGGTAATGGCCGTCTCAGCTTCAAACATGTGACAAGCAAAGTAACGAGTAGGGGATTTTGATCTAACCGTTATTGACAATGCATTGCTGTAGTTTCCAAACCAGACAATCCTCTACAAGTCTGGAGAATCTCTAGGCGACCGTTTCACCCGCCGCTATGTCGTGCATAGCTGCTGTTAGCGGAAGCCGTGAATCTAGAGACCAGCACTGTTCTCTGCAGAAGACGATCTGGCTTGGAAGCTACTGCGATAACTTCTCAATAGAAAAAGATAAGTGTGCTTATTACAGGATGGAAGTGCAAATCATCTAAAAAGCCAGTATGATTGATAATGTAGCAGTGGAACGCATTTTTGTCTGCACGGTTCGCCTCACTGGTTGGGTGAGGAGGCGCTACATAGCCCATAGTTCCCGGCAAATGGAGCCAGTTGAACATGTGTATATCCCACAGGGTATGGTGACTTTCCATGCAAGACAGAGGCCTAGGTGCGGCTTGGGAAGAGGGGTGGTAGAGGTACTCAATTTTTCCAAGATCTTAGGCTTCACGAATCCGGACTAACTGGCAATGCACAAACACGAAGTGGGCGAAAATGGATGTTCTTTTAAAACAATTCCTCAACTGTCACATTACCCGCTTCGAACTTTGCATTCCATTGTCGACTTCATCTGTACCTCAACTTCTCAGGTTGATCAACATATCATTTGGATTACCAATTGACACACTTGTGCTCACGCTAGCAAGTTCCAGGATGAAGGTCCAACACGACGTGAACTGAAGGACATGGCACCAGCGTCCTCGCTTGTCCCAATCGCCAAACTCATTTGCGTGCCAGGACGCTAATGCGATTAGCGAGTGAGTCACGTGAGCTTGGTGCAGATGAACCGCACTCGATCGATGGGAGCCAAGGTTGCACCCCTCGTGCGCGCACCGGTTAGCGATCGACCGCTAAGGTAGATGGCAACTCGACTCATTTCCGACGTTGGCCGACAGCGTGGCCCACGCGAAAAGCGGTTTACTGCTAGTGAAAGGGCTTGGTACCAACTGGCTTTGTGTTGAACTGTCGTAGTCCAGTGATTTCCAGGTCACGCATAGCTGACTATCTGGGCCTACTCGTGAAAATGCCGCTTAAACCATTTACTACCCCAATCCAATCCTTTAAGCATGTCTTTCTTAGACCCATCAAATCAAATTTTATCTCCAACCCTAACTTTAGTGGTTCGTGAGAATTTCTCATGGGGATTGTCCCGCAAGTCGTAGCCAACCCGTCACATCTACACTTCAGTTTGGCTTTTGGGTAGCTTCACCAGGCCCTCACGGAGGTGTATGCGACCATAAGTCCTCAACAATTCGCAGGATATAAAGACACTCTTTGCCCCCGTTCGGTTGGAAGAATTTCAAACAGATCTATAGAGGGGACCATCTAATTGTTCCGTTTCGACTCCTAGTCTGTGGGAGGTACTAGCAAAATCATCTCCAGTGATGAAGTTGATAACAAACTTCCATTGAAGTGGAACTGGACAGCTGAAAGACAAGTTTAGGCTGTTCGCTGCAGACTCCACTGTGTCAGTACACGTGCGTACCATGCTTCACGCACACTCCAAATGTACACTTGTGAAGAATGAGCGGACGTCAAGATGGACCATGTGGTTGCCTTGCGCTCAGCGACGCTAGGTACGACAAACGACATACTGACACACCGTAAAAATTACCATGTTGCTCAAAATGAGAACCAGTGTAAACTTACAGCTTCCTCCGCTTTAGGAATGCTGCATTTCACAGAAGATAAAAATGGTCTTTTTGACACTTTGGTCAGGCTTTTACCGACTTGACCAAAATTTCGCGAATTGGATTTGGAGGATATTACGGATCCCACCTGGTCCGTCCGGTAGTAGCTTCCACGTGTTGTGTATCGTCTGACATTGTTGTCCATGCTTTGAGTGCATCGTTGAGCACCAAAACGAATGGACCCCCCACTTGTACGTTGTTGCTGAACCGGTGGACTGCAGCCTTGTACAGAATTCTCCTTGGAGTCCGATGGAGAAGTTGGTGTCTTCCTTGCTGCCAGAGCTTTCATTCTGATAATAGGGCATGTAAAACAAATGGGCAAACTGCCTCTGTGGGTTGCCATCTTGAGCACCGACAATTTAGACACCTCAGCCTATGGCATGTAACTATTTAACATGAAGGTTGTAGAATGTCGGACGGATTCGAGCTAAAGGATAGCAACGATCCAACTCCTTCGGTGACAACTAAATCCACGCTCCCGTCCAATATGTCTAAGACTTCATGATAATAAGACCGTCTCTGGGCTCAAACTCACTCATACTCATCAATTCTTGTGGCCGTCCATTGGTTGCCAATGGTACCTCTTTCAACCAATTCTTGACATTGCTTGGAGTATTCCACCATTGTGTCTATTTCATTCAACAGAATCTGAACGTCATCGCTTTCGACTATACCCGTCTCTTGGATCCAGTGAAATCTTCCACCAGTGCTGTGAGCAATTGTTCTATGGAATGAGCACATTGGGGGAACAATAAAAGCACCAACAGAACGGTAAGAAAAGAGGTGATCTATTAAAACAATACACCTAGCACCAGGTGTGATGAGCCAAGCGAGTAAAGCCGATGATTGGACCAACTATGTGCACAAAGTGACAAGGTGATGACAGAGATCCATAGTATAACGACCTCACCAAGTTCGTGTGATATAAGCAGGCAGTGGGAAAGATAACATTGTGAGCCGCGCAGTTCACTGCAAAGCACCTCAGTCGACGAATCGTGAAATAAAGTGATCACGGTTAGTTGCTATAGACGAACATTGTAATAGCGAGAGTTGCCGGCTCACGCTAACAGAGTACCGTTCCCAGTGATGGAAAAAATAAAGCACGGAAGCGACGGGACGAAGGTGTATTGTGGTACACACTGTTCCCGTGTAGTAGCTACAAATACGAAGAATGTGAGGGACCGCGCGATGGAGCGGCGTGTTGAATCCAACCGTGGCGCCGTGTGTGTTCGCGTGTGTGTTGGGTCAGACAAACAAATGCAACATAGCATTTTGCAAACAACCTCTAAGTGTACACTAAGAAGGTAGTTTTATTTAATATTTTACACAACATACTCAGGCTATCCGGGGGAATCTCCAGACTGCTACAACATGCTTCGCTTTACTAGCTTACGTTTTCCGAAAGCCCATTCAGTTCTAAACAACCCAGCACAAGTGATTCGCGCGTAAGCGGGAATGAGGTGGAGAACGCATCCGCTAGTGGATCCACTTGCTGTTACTACTGTGTTGTTAGTTCTCACTAAGCAATTCGAAGATTTATGCGGTACTGTGGTCTGTTGCCTTACGGAGTGAACGAAAACATGATTTCAGGGAACTACCCTCGTCAGAAAATGTTGTGTTCCAAAGACGCCTTTGCTCCACGACCGCAAGAACAGAAGTACAAAGGCGTGCCGGGAAAGAATTGTATTCGTTGGATCATGCCCGCTTACGTAGTTTTGAGAATGAGGTGAAGGGAAACTACTAAAAGACATCCAAGCCAACCCTATTGCTGAAAACATGCAAGCAGAATGAACCCAACGAAGACTGATGAATAAAGGAACCAATAATGGGCACACAACGAACGAAAGAGAGAGCGTTAGCAGCAAGGTGGAACTACCATCCGGGGGCAGGAATAATGACCAAAAGTAGCCAAGAAAATTCGGAATGATGTGTTTAAACAAATGTCAGTAACAGCGATAGCGAAAAGAAACGAATCGGTAAATAAGAATGTTTTCCATAATATGTATGCTCAATAAGCTTCCCCCTAACAGGTTCATCCACCGACCGAGGTCGCAATGTGTGCAAGGCTCCATTTCCAGCACGACGTTCCCACCCTAAATGACCCGATCTCTTACCTCTGTGGTATCTTAAGGGAAAGTGCAGTCAATAGGTCAGCGAACGGATTCTGAACGCTGAGCCAGTTGTTTCCATTTCACCTATTCTAAGCTGGATACGAAGTGAATACAGACGTGATGGTTCCAATGAAGTAATGAAGGTATCTACCTCGACCATTTGGCAGTCCATCACTCACCTCAAGATGTTCGCTGTCTTGTTGCTTTTTGAATCCCGCCTCAATAACAGATTCCTTGGTACAAGATCCTCCCCATCGCCGTTGTACAAGGCAACATGAAGACGAACACCGGGTTTACTGCAGCGTTTCTCCTCCAAAAATGAAGTGATGGTCTCTTCGGCTTGATCCGGTGGACCCGTAGTGAAGAGATATAGACCGAGGGGTTGTTCATCCAACTCTCCTTCGGCTTCCGGTTCCAATGCGAAACTGAATTTAGTTGACGGGTTTAAACAAACCTCCGTTTATATGTACTTCGGGATATCCGAGTAATTAAATGCTGGATATTTTAGCCTAGGACAACGTAACGGGAGGGTTTTATGAATGGGTGTTCCAAGAACATTTAGCGACTTGCAATGTGCATAATAAAGCTAACGCGTTGTGCTTCCTGGTGTATTCCTAATTCCTATCACAACAGGAAGTGGATTGACACATTTGGGTCAATAAACGCACCGACATTCAGTCAGCACGACGGATGTTTGGTGGGTACATGTGGTGATCCAACCAAGCACAGGCGGGCGGATGGGCAGTTGCCTTGCCTCAGTTCATATCCCTCTGTCCTCCAGTCCGTCAGTCCCGTCTGGTCTGAAATCAGCAATTGCGCGTAGAGGATTCTTTTCGATAAATCACCTCAGGCAACTACAAGTATAAGCAAAATTAGGACTTAAGACATTCCATTGCGCAGGCGTGAGGACGCAACGAGCAAAACAAATGCCCTCGGCAAAGAGACGTGGATAGGTCAAGACACCCACTTTCTCAGTTTTGTACGTCTGAGATACAAGCGGAATTTAGTTCGTTGTCTGTACCATCACGCAAGAGCCATCTACAGACGAGATGCTTGAATGAGAAACAAAGCTCATTTTCAGCACCCTGCCAGAAAATGGGTATCCCATCCCATTCATCAAGAAGCATTCCATTCCACCGGATGCTGCCAAATCTGTCGTCACAGTGCCGAAAAAAGAATGTCTTTCCTACAGTCCCTTTTAAAGGTGACATTACTTTCGAAATGTTGAATAAAACTTGCAAACACATTGACCCAGACCTATTCGGCTGCTAAGCTAAAATCACTTGTCGGAACGAGACCATTGATTCCTTAAAACCTAAAGGACAAACTCCCGGTCCGGTCCGAATGCTTTATCCAATTTCAATTCACTTGCATTTTTGGTGCAAGGTATCTTGGACACACGACCAGGTGCTTGTACAAACGGATTGTTGAACTCTGCCCTGCATCACTGCGGAATGGCACGGTGAAGAATGTCAACAGTTCTACACTGCAACGCTTGATAGAAACTGGCCATCAAGTTCGGATGAATGAGTCCATTAAAGTCGTCTATACCGTCGCCAGATGCTAAGCAAAGAAGCTTAAGAAATATCTAGTGGTCATCGCAGAAACCATCTCAATCAGGGTTTTATAAACAGAGCCGTGTAAACAGCGTGCTCCGTTACAAGTTTTGAGTTTACCTTGGCCGTGAACTAGCTCCAACATTGATTACTCAGTGTTGGTCACGTGTGTTTGCGTATGTTGCCCGGTCCGATAGAACAAGCCATCGGTTGGTGTTGTATATCGATGTACACAAGTGTGATTTCTTCTATGTTCATTTACCCAACTGTGGCGAAGCTTTCGCGAGTTTATGTACATCTTAATTTTGCTTTATAATTGTAGTTACCTGGAGTGTTTTACCGAAAAGAATTTTCATCGTGCAATAGTTAATTTCTAATTCAATGGGAATAATTTACGAATTCTAGGTCTGCCAACACTTGCTAGTTTCTCAGATACTTTACGGTCTGACACTTAGTAAAGCCGTTTGCTGGATTGAAAGTGCCACAACTGTAGAGGAGGCACGCGTTGACCTGGCAGCTGGAGATAAGACCACTAACCAACACATTCAGTACCGTCAGTTCATCTCCTCTTCTAGCCTGAATTTCAAGCCATTAACCCATCACAGAAGCAAATGTTGGTGGCTCAGGTTGTTCATTTGGTGATCTGAGTGTTCACGGAGCTCGGCAGTTTGGCTGCAAACGTTTCGTCACCACTCGAGGTGACATCGTCAGTGCGCGTTTATGTAACGGAGTGGGCGGCGAGCCGTCAGAGTTTGGATCGTTTGACGGGTACATGACTATTGAAGCTATCTCTGATTCGTGTAACGTAGCGTAAGCACGCGTGCCCCTTCGGTTGACGTCGTTGTTTGACGCGTTTGTCCGGGCTTTCTGTCCCGTTAGATTTAGTTAAATAATTCGGTGATCTATCATCGGCAGTGTTGCATCTATAGCATCTAGTTCGACGCGTCGGTTTATTGAATTGCCCGTAGAATACCATACTTCCAAGAATTCGCTAGCTTGCCTCGAATTTCCACGAGCTAGGATCCTTACGTACTCTAGGTCGAAGTGGTGGCCCTCCTGGTCTCCATGCATGGAAACC